TAATAATAATAATAATAATAATAATAATAATAATAATAATAATAATAATAATAATAATAAATAATCATCATCATCATCATCTTTATTATCTTTTTTGTTTTTCCGCCCCTATTTTTCCAGTGAGTTAGGAGTGGGTGGGGAGGGCAAACAAACATTTTTTGGCCTAATAATAGGCTAATAATAATAATAATAATAATAAATAAATAAATAATGATAATAATAATAATATATAATAATAATAATGATGATAATAATAATAATAATAATAATAATAATAATTAACAGTAATAGTAATAGTAATAATAATAATAATAATAATAATAATAATAATAATGATAATGATAATGATAATGATAATGATAATGATAATGATAATGATAATGATAATAATAATAATAATAATAATAATCGACTGCGAATACTACGAAGCTGCCTCGGTCAGGAACCTTCCAGATATTCGTTTTCCTCGTGTTTAATTGTTTAATAATATATCAATAATTTCATTTCAGAATGGGGCCTATGTTGCAAGCTATGTAGAGACCCTGTTCTCCAAAACAAATACCAAACTTAATGACGACTATACAGATACACCATATTATAAACTTCTTTGTTTTCTTGCTATGTTAAGAAATTCGGCCGTGGAAAAAGTATCGAGGTGACATGACTTTCAAGTGTTGTACATTTTAATTATTATTATTATTATTGTTATTATTATTATTATTTTTTTTTTCTTTATTATCATCATCATCATTAACATTCTTATTATCATCTCCTTTATTGTTATTGTTTTTTTTTTCTTGAAAGTCAATTTTAATTACCATACTTATTAGACTTTTATTATTACTATTACATATTATTATTATTATCAGCAACATATTTTCCGTCACATTTGTTTAGGTTTCTAGAAAGCATGGAAAGAAAAGAGATTTACTTTCGGGTCGACACGTATATCAACTTTTTAAAGTTATTGGTTTATGGTAATGCCGTTGATGCATATTCAGTGGAACTTCCCAAACAATTTGAAATCGGTATGATAGTGACTTTCCATGAATACATAATATGAAAAAGGCTTAGCTATTATTTAATTGAAACATCTATTTGAATTATGAGTCATAAGATTCCACACAAAATAACTTTCTTTGGTCAGTCTAGAATTCTTAAATAGTCGCTTGTAAACCTAAGAAATTTTCACGTCAAAATATTTGAGATAACAGGTTCGTATTTTAATGTCACAGGTTTATTTCCATTGGACTCACGTGACTTCAAAACAGAAGGTGCAAAGCTATATTTTTTACGATGGACAAGCCTTTTAACAATAGAAACCATGGAAGAAGCCAAAACTTTCAAAAAGATGGCCGTCAGCTCAAACGACATCACGCGAGCAGACGCGTTCTCTGAGAGCAAGATGGCAAGGTGGCTGAACATTCAGGCTGAGCGACAAATGTTTTGTCCACAGGATGGAATTGCACTTAGTCCATCTCATCGAGAGGACAAAGATCCATTGTTTCAGCCAAAGTACTTCGCAGAATGCGTACAATCGCGTAGAACAGGTAGGAGAATAATGGCATTCTGAATTTATTAAATTCACGGATAGTAGATATTTTGTACATTTTTTACCTTATTATAACAATAATTTTTTATGCCATTTTACTTTTTTAAAGGACTCATGATTCTAGTTAATCTTATCTGCAAAGTGAGCTCTGACCCAGAGGAGCTGACAAACGGTGATGTACCGAACATCAGCCACTGGCGTGTGGACCGATTTATTAATCTTGTTTCATTCAGGCGCATGTTAGTTGCCCTCAAAAGCATTTGTGCTCGCCCAAGTACCACCGTCGTTGAAACCTGTCCAATTGCTTCAGTCATTTCTCCAGAATTTCAGGATTTAAAATTAATTATTGACATAAAAGCAGACGATAACGCACAGCTTACTGGGGAAAATGCTGCAGCTTCGGTGCCTGATGCACAAACTTCAGGAGTGCCAAACACTTCAGCTAAAAGAGAAGGAGTGCCAATTGGTGGCTCTTGTAAAAGGCAAGAAGTCAACTTTCAAAGACCAAAGTCGGAGAATAGACCCGGAAATAAAAGCCAAATAGAAGCAATAGATGCTGCAATGCATGACGGAGTAGCAATCATTCAAGGACCTCCTGGTACTGGTAAAACATTCACAGCGGCAGAAATCATCAGAATATGGCTTGAAAATTGGGACTCAAGACCTATCTTGGCTTGCGCAGAAACCAACGAAGGAGTGAATAACTTAATCATGAAGGTATTGAAGCTCAGCTGCGTATCTCCCGATGACATGGTTCGAATCGGTAACGTTAGCAAGGTGACAGAAGAAATGAAACGAATAACTCTTGAGGAAAAGTACTTCGCAAACGGACATAAGATGCATGATATGCAGATGGACTACACCATTGTAAAAGATATCATCCATCGAGCTAAGGTACCAAAACCATTTTTATTTATAATACAGTATATGTATGTATTACGGTATAGTGAGACACAGTGTCTAACCTGGTGAACGTTTTGTCGAAATTGACCTACATGGATGGTACATAATTTTGTCTGCTGTTCGTATCGTAAACCTAATTTCCCATAGGCCTATCTTTATGATATGATTTAAAACGGCAACAGTAAGGTGAAGCTACAATTGTAGTTCTGATGTTTAAAAGCCTCAAAATTTCAAGATAATTTCAAAAATAAAATATATCAGATACGGTACACTACAGGCCCGTAGGCAGGATTTTCGATGGGGAGGTGCGTTCTTGCGACCGAAGCGGACCTTAGGATGGGCGACCGCCTTGGGATCCCTGCGGGTGGGGGGGGGCGAATCCCCCGGAAGCTCCGATAAATTAGCATTTTAAGGGCCTTTTAATGGATTTCTGAAACCTATAATTCGTAATATTCTATATAAATTTTCATTTATTTGGGTATTGTTTCGGGGCATAAAGCAGGAGAAATAGAGGTTGGGGCTGAAGTGGTAAGAAAATTTATGATTATGGCACCTCTAGATGGCCGAAAATGGCACTCTCAAACAAAATTGAATTATGATTTTTCTTTTTTCCATTTCTTTTATAATTTTAGGGAGCTCTCCCCCACCCCCTAATCCGCCACTGTGAAGTTGTAACGTTTTATGTCCTTTACATCTGTACGTCTACAGATGACATAGATCAATCTGCAATCACTAGAGCTGACAATTTCCAACAGATTTCGTAGCACATTATTAAAAATCAACGGTTAGAAGAGCGGGAAAAAATGTAATGCATGCTAGGCCTATAGCATTTCGCTATAATCAGGAAAATTTTAATGAAATAATAGGTTTTAAAAAGTGGACTTTTTGAAATTTGGTGGTCCAGGGCCAGAGACCTGATGGGGGCGTTTGAAAAAAGCCCCAGGAGGCTCCGACAAAGTAGCATTTTGAGGGTCTTATATAATGGATTTCTCAAACACATAATTCGTGAATATTTTATTTAAATTTTCATTAATTTGGGTTTTTTGTGGGGGCAAAGAAGTAACGTTATTATGTCCTGTACATCTGCCGGCCTGCAGATAACATTGTTCATATTATAGATCAATCTGCAGTCACCGGAGAAGATAAATTTCCAACAAATTTCATATCATAGGCCCTTTAAATTCAACGGCTGGATGTGCTGGTAAATATATAATGCAATGCATGCTATAGCATTTTGTAATAATTAGGAATGATTTTGTAAGATAATAGGTTTTAAAAAGTGGACCTTTTGGAATGGGGGGGGGTGCATCCGCACCCTCTGCACCCCACCCCCTGCCTACGGGCCTGCACTATGGTCATCCGTTCTTATTTGTTGTCAATTAGATTGTATTCAGTACCTGTATCGGTGCAGGTACGAACTATATGACTGAGCAATACTTTCCTCATGTACTTCTGGATGAGGCATCACAGGCTACTGAACCAGCAGCGATGGTGCCTCTACAATATGGCTGCCAAAGATTATGTCTTGTCGGGGATGATAAGCAGTTACCTCCGCTAGTGAAGAGCTCAAATGCTGACCAGCTGGAAGTCTCTATATTTGAAAGGTAGCGCTTCCATTATTTTGTATTGATTCAACTCAGGGGCGGATCAGAATTTTTCGTTGAGGGGTGGGGCTACTGTTTTGAATCAACATCAACTATCCCAGCCCTACCATGGGATGATCCCCACATGATGCTGTTGTGGCTTATATCTGGTAATTTTAGAGGACTTTTTAATTTAGGCCAACATTCAATTCTATTATTTCACTGTAAAAACATAGATGCTGGAAAAATTTTAGGGGGTGTGTTAAAGCCTATTTATCTAAATCCACCCCTTCAATATAAAGCAGATTTCAAAAGTAAATGTAGGCCTACTGATTAAATTGATTAAAAATGATAAATGGATTACAAGTATAATAGCATGGACCATAGGTCCATGATAATAGTGTGTCTTATAGGGC